GATGCAGAGCATCAGCCGGGACCTGTCCGTGGTGGTGTCCATGGACAACAACCGGCACCTGGACCTGGACAGCATCATCGAGGAGGTCCGGCGCCAGTACGAGCAGATCGCCCAGAGCAGCCGGGCCGAGGCCGAGGCCTGGTACCAGAGCAGGGTGAGCCCTCGGGGTGGGATTGGCACCCCTGGGACGGTCCCCTGCTGTCCCAAACACCCAAAACCTCGGTGAGTTCTGCCCCTGATGGGTCCCCTTTGCCCCCTCCCCACCCCAGTACGAGGAGCTGCAGAACACGGCGGGCAAACACGGGGACAGCCTGAGGAACACCAAGCTGGAGATCCAGGAGCTCACCAGGAACGTGCAGAGGCTGCGGGCCGAGATCGAGAACGTCAAGAAGCAGGTACGGGACCCTCAGCACCTCAGGGGGGCGGGGTGGGGTCTCAGGGGATGAGATTGGGAAGGTGAGAAGCAGGTGAGGGGTTGATTGGTGTCTCATGGATGGGACTGGGAAGGAGAGGAGCAGGTAAAGACCCCTCAGCACCTCAGAAGGTTGATCAGTTGATGTCTCAGGGGATGAGATGGGGAAGGTGAGGAGCAGGCAAGAGGTTGGTTGGTGTCTCAGGGATAAGATTTGGAAGGAGAGGAGCAGGGAAAGGCCCCTCAGCGCCTCAGAGGGTTGGTTGATTGAAGTCTCAAGGATGAGATCGGGAAGGTGATGAGCAGGTAAGAGGTTGGTTGGTGTCTCAGGGATGAGATTGGGAAGGAGAGGAGCAGTTAAAGACCCCTCAGCACCTCAGAAGGTTGATCAGTTGATGTCTCAAGGATGAGATTGGGAAGGTGAAGAGCTGGTAAGAGGTTGGTTGGTGTCTCAGGGATAAGATTTGGAAGGAGAGGAGCAGGGAAAGGCCCCTCAGACCCTCCCAGGTAGCAGCACCACGCTGGGTCAGGTTGAGGGAAAGGTGGAAGTGGAAATTCCGCTGCTCTGACGGATCTCGCCCGTCCACCCTCCGGTTCCGCTCCCAACGGAACTCCCGGGCAGGAGGGACCCCCCAAACTGGTTTTCTCTCCCCCAGAACCAGCAGCTCCAGTCGGCCATCGCCGAGGCCGAGGAGAGGGGCGAGATGGCCCTCAAGGACGCCCGCAGGAAGCTGGAGGAGCTGGAATGTGCCCTGAGCAAGGACAAGGAGGAGCTGGCCCGGCTGCTGAAGGAGTACCAGGAGCTGCTCAACACCAAGATCGCGCTGGACGTGGAGATCGCCATGTACAGGAAGCTGCTGGAGGGGGAGGAGAACCGGTGAGAGCTCCGTTTGCGTTCCTTTGGCTGAGCTGGTGACGCCCCGGGCCGGGTGAAACCGCGGGATGCACCCTCGGGATTGTCACCTGTGCTCCAGTTACTGAGCAGAGATTAGGTGTTTTTAATTAGAAATTAATTTTGTTCGTTTTATTAAGATCGTTTTCCGGTCTTATAAAAATTTTCAAAGTTTTTTTTTGTTTGTTTGGGTTTGGTTTTTTTTGTTTGTTTGTTTGTTTGTTTTGTTTTTCCCAGAATAACTGGGAAACTCTGAAAAAAAAAAAACCCTAGGAAATCAGCTGCTCAATTCTTTACAGGTTAAGCAGGAAATTCCTAAAAAAATTTGGTTCGTTTTTTTAAAAAGAATAACTGGGAAACTCCGAAAAAAATAGGGAATAAGTTGTTCATCCCTTTAAAGGAGAATGGGGAAGCTGCGTGAGAAATAGCAAGTCTGTTGCTCATTTCTTTATAGAATAATCAGAAAACTGTGTGTGGGGGGAAATAAGGGAATAAATAGCTCTTTAAAAAACAAACGAAAACAAAACAAAACAGGGAAATTCTGAAAAAGCTTTTTTTTTTTTTTTTTTTTTTTTTTTTTTTTAATAAAGAACACCCGGGAAATCCCGAAACAGGAAATATAAATAAATATATTTAGGGAATATATATTTTATATATATAATATATATAATATATATATTATATATAATATATATAATATATATAATATATATAATATATATATAG